AGTATCACCACACTCAAATCACGTACTTTTATCATATCTCACAGAAAGGTACATAGCGATCATCATCTCCAATGAAAGCAGACCTGATCATAGATTGCGATAAAAGTATACATACTTAAAAAAAATGTGATTTATAAAATTCATTGAGATTTTTAAACACTTATTCTAGTGTTTAAATTGGTGATGACTGATGATACGTGTTAATGATTTTGCAGCAAAACATTCCATCCAATCATAATGTTTCAATCTATTTGACGCAAAATCCATTTTTTAAAAATAAAGGAACATGATTAAAAATGTTTCTAAAAAACCTGCATCCAAATATACCTTTACATTTTCGCGAGACTAAAGTCTCCCAAGGCCGAAATCTACAAAAAAAAAGAAAGTAAGGAACGTTAGTAAACGTTCTTAAATAAAAAAAAAGGACACCTGAAGCCTCCACTTTATACCAACGTCTATTCATAATATTTCTTTGAATAAAAGAATAAAAGACCGCTTAATGAAAAAAAATAGAATCCAAAAAACGAGCAGTAATCCCGCACCCGTAATAAAAATAGTTTAATATTTTTACCACGTGTTTATAGCCTGATGTACCGGGATTTGAAAATGTTTTTTTTCAAGTTCGAACTTGTGTTTTTTTTCATTCGAACTTAACTTTTTTCGCGTTTTTTACTCAATTGCAAGCAGAAGAAGCTTATGTATATAAAAATTTTATGTTATTAATATACTTTTTTTTAATGTTTTACTAATTATTTATAGTTTTTAATATGCAATTTTATAAAATAAAATATATAAATATTTATATTAAAGTTTTAAAAATATTATTTTTTATTTATTATTTAAAAAAAATGCCAAAGACACTTTATTTTGTGTTTCAATTTATATTATAATATTGTGTCAAAAAAAAAATATTAAATATATAGTAAAATTAATTAACTAAAGTACTGTATTTTAAAAGAAAAAATTTTAAAAACATAATATTTTAAATATTTTAATAAATATAAAATAAATTTTTGTTACAGTAAATAGGTCTTCTCCAAAGACTTAGAACTTTTTATTTTTTATTTTTTACAAAGTTAATGCATAACAAATTAATTTTGAGACGATGTTAAAAATAGTAAACTATTTTTATTCTGGGTGCGGGATTACTGCTCCCTAGTCCCTCTACAAAATAAATATGTTTAAAATAAAAATTTATAAAAATAGCTATTACTTTTAATAGTCATGATAGTCATGCATATTATTACTTATTTGGCAAGTGATATTTTTATTACTATATCTGGTCTGTTCAAAAATCCGGTTTGTTTATTTTTAATTGAGATGACTTGTAATACGCAATACAAACTAATTTGATATGATAATTTTTTTTGTTTATTATTTTTTAAACTGATTATCTTTTCAAAAAAATGAACGGAAAAGAAATTTCTAATTATCCTGAAAATTCAAATATAGTATGGAAAAATAATAAACGTACTTTTTATTATAAAGTAATAAGGGCAGGCATATACCCCAAAGATATATTATGTTATATCAAAAAACCTACTTCATACTCAATTCCACATGGTTATGTAATTCAAACAACTTGAAATCGAAATACTTGTACAGTTCAATGTTCAATAAATTATGTTAATGATAAACCTACATATGTAGTAAAATTTGGTAATAATTTTTCCAATCAAGTTGTTTCAAGTAAATCTCCTTCAGATGCGACTACATTATTTCATAACGTAAATATATTATTTTATTATTTATTCACTATCTAGTTTTAATTTAATTATTAAATAATCTTTTTGCACAATTTTAAAGCAAATCAATCAAGGAGTTAATACACGAACCTCAGGAGTACTTCTGTTTGGGCTTCATTTAGAATCTATACATCAATATTGAATTAAACCACATAAAAAACGTATTTTAAAACCAGTAAATGAAGCTTCCCATTCAACTCTTACTAAATGAGCTAAATCTATGACCAAGCAAGTGCTTGATGATTTTACAAATATATCAAAAAATCATTACAATCCTGTAGATAAACCTATTTTGGAAAAAGTTCAATTTTTTGTGAATAATTATAAATTTAAGGTAAATGTAAATGAAAATTTGATAACAAAAGAATGTAAGAATGAAGCAATGGTGATGGTGGTTGATAATGGACAAATTTCTCGAGATGCCTACAGAAAATTAACTACAATTGAAGATGAATTACCACGTGAATGGACAATTGCTGAGAAACGAACACAAATTAATATACGGATGAATGATAGAATTAAGATAAACACAGTTATAATGCCACAACATATGGATATAAATTCAAATGAAAGTTTTGACATTTTTGATCCAGAGGTTATTGAAGAAGTAACAACGTCAGTTGGAAAAGGTGGTAAAAGAAGTTTAAAAGATGTATTTAAATTTATAGTACCAAACTTAATAAAGAGAGGTGTTCTTAATCTTCACTAACCAATTATTAGCATAAGAATCTCTGGAGATGGTAGAAATGTTGGAAAAAAAGTAAAACATGTTATGATCACTTTTGTGATCTTAGAAGACATTGAAAATATACATAATCCTAATTATCACTATACAGTAGTATTGTACCCTGGTTTAGAAAATTATGAATCCTTAGATATATTAACAATTTCATTTCGAGAAGAATTACAAGAATTGAAAGAAATAGGAATAAACATTAATGGAGTTAATTGGACGATTAACATGTATTTTAGCTCAGACTGGAAATTTCTTACAATTTGCTTAGGTTTTAATTCAGCAAATAGCTTATTTTTTTGCCCGTGATGTACAATAACCAAAAAAGAAATATCAGATATCAAAAAAGAATGGCTAATATCAAAGCAAATAGACAATATAAATCAATATAATGGTCATCATTCAACACCATTATTTAATATGATATCGTTAGAAAATTGGATCCCTGATAAGCTCTACATT